TGTTATAACATTATATATCATGATATAACATAAAATATAATTCGTTCAGTGCAATAATTCTAAAACATCTGCACACAAAGATCCTATAAATATGTTCCGAAATAGCATAAACATCACTAGGCTCAGCATACGTAATATGGAAATATAATGTTTTAAATTAACTTCCTGACACTTCTTAAGTATCTTTCAGACAAACGTCATATTTTTCCCTCGCTGAACGGATTAAGTTGGCAAAGACATGGCGCTGGTTTAAACATTATGGAATAATACTTGTCCAAACAATATCATTCGTTTCCAGGCAACATTATGCCTATAGTGCCACACATTCACGCTGCTCGCCAAAATAAAGATCCAGGTATGCGTACTCCATCTAGGAGCAGGTGGTGTCCGCATATAAGTCATTACGTGAAATATAAAAACAAACTATTAAGTGACCAGTTTATTTATGTATTCTCGCCAAGAACAACACTTCCCCTTACAACACAAAGCCAATAAAATATGTTCCCGGCTCAGATATGCAGAGGTCATCTGTGTTAAAACGAAGACGGCAATTTTCAGACCTTGATAAGTCGCATACTACTGATTCTGTTCTCTGAGAGGCATTTTAGAAGCTGTAAAGATGATGGAAAACCAAGTTCTATGGATAGTCAACTTCTTTATTGCAATGAGTGCGACGTTTCGGCATAGGTACAAACAAACGTCGCACTCATTGCAATAAAGAAGTTGACTATCCATAGAACTTGTTTTTCCTTCTACTGATTCTGTTAATATAACGTTAGACTCGTCACGATTTGTATTTCATATCACACACATTCCATATTTGGAATGTCTTTAGAATGGTTACTTTTTGCAAACACGTATTGGTACGAGTGAAAAACAAAGCACAGAGTATATTGTGTTGACGTCGTGTGATGTAAAGTTGGGGAAGTGTTTCGGATATGTCGATGGTCACATTTAACTCGACAATATTCCTTGCTAAGTTGCCGATTTTTAGTCAGGAGCCGCACTGTTTACGAACGCAGTCAGGTCAGACACTAAAATGTGTTTTCGGATCTGTCTTTTCAAATAGAACTTGCATTTGTTTGATGTTGTCCCGACGGTGGCATGCTTTGTTCCTTCATGCAGCCGACAGTTGTTTTTAATGTGGTCATGTGCAATGCCGGGCACAAAAATGTACAAACTCAATAATTTGATTTGACCAAAATGCTGAACCTTTCAAAACATTATTACGTTGAACACAGCTGCTGAAACACAACGAAGTGTAAGTTGGAAACACAATCGTCATATATGGATCAACAACAGCACCATCGATGAAACGTTTCGTTTGTTTCGTTTCAGCGACCATCAACAATGATGGTAAACTTTCTTTCGTGTACGTATGCGTTTGACTATAGGAGGTTATTTTTATTTATTTCAACGTGGTACAGTCTGATATCGATTGTCAATACGTTTCGACGTATAACGGGTCGCCAGTTTGTTATTTCACCATCTGACAACGTATCTCAAGAACTAAGACCATTCGAACACTTGTTCATATAAATTTTGGTTTAGTGTTTCAATGAACCTATTCAGGTATCTACGTCCTATCCTTTATTCATAATATCTATCCTTTATTCACTTTAGTCAGACATTGACAAAATGAATATTCCAGAAAAGTGCGAAAAAGGAATTGACGACGAAATACATTTCCTAGACGCTGGCGATACGACGTTGACAAGCCTTTCTTCCAAAGTCGACAAACTGTTTGTGGTTTGCACGAAGATGAAATGAAGTTTAAATGTATTTTTTATGTGAATCTAATCATTTGTACACAGTTGTCATTTGACATGTAAAACGAGAACAGATCACAAAATTGTAATTTCCCTGCTTTCATCTGAATTTGCGGGAAGGCGGTAACTTATCTGTGTCAAATCTTGCAAATGACAAATATCTTTTCTTGCCAAGCTTGTCGCGATAGGATCTCTCAGCTTGAAAAACGCGCCAACCTGACCCAAAATGGACAAAGGTTGCTGCAAATTAAACCATAATCCCCTATGCTCTCTTTGCCACAGAAGGATCTATATTATGATGCGGGATTATTTGGGTTTCTCAAGGGAGCTATGTGGTTCCTTATCACTGAGAAATTTATTCATACGCTATTGATTTGTAGCAATGATGAAGAAATAGAGCTGAAGACGACAATACGTGCACATTGGACGGTTTACGACGGCTTGTGGGGCGCAATGTCTCGACAGAAAATCTCTTTGTTTTATTAATTTCTCGTTTTATCCGCTCTTTATCTGCAATTTGTCTTGTTGATATTTGAATAAACCGATCCATTTGTTTTTGTTTAAGAAGAAACTATTAATCACAAATATTTCGCGGATAATGCTTATGATATATACTTAAAATTTGTATTCACTTTCTATCAAGGTTCATTTATAATTCGACATTTTGGAAGTGTTTACAAAACTCCAAGCGGAACTGTTGTTTTGTCGTTTAAGTGTCTGTTTTGTTGATGATGTGAATTCATCGTTCCTATGTCTGAAGATTTCGTTTCCTAAACTGGCTTAATGTGTTGAAAGTTAATGAAATTATAAGCGACAAAACTAATAAACCTATGTTTAACAATCACTATCACACTGTGATGTCAACATGGGATCACAAACATGTGATCGTATCCTACCAATTTCCTTGCACTTATGACGCAAGTCCATTGTCACAAACATGTGATCGTATCCTGCCAATTTCCTTGCACTTATGACGCAAGTCCATTGTCTACGTATAATAAACAAAAATACATGTTAATATGATACCAAATAATTGTCACATTATGTAAAATGCTATATCGCGTTTACGTTTGAAACACGAAAAAAGTAAACTTCAAAGATATGTTACTGAAACCTCTTATTGACACCAGACACATCAAAGTCACGAAAACAAAATGAACACATGATGGGTAGATTATGCTGAACACACCCGGCTTTAGATATGAGCATGTTTATACAAATGCACAGTGCTGCTATCTTATGATAAAATGAGTTTAGTTTTAGGCCGCTTTTGGCAATATTCCAGCAAAATCACAGCGCGGGACACCAGCAATGGGCTTCACACATTGTAGCCATGTTGGGAATCGTACCCGGGTCTTCGGCGTGACGGGCGAACGCTTTAACCATAAGGCTACCCCACCACCTCATGTCATCAGTATGATATAAGTACACACACACACACACACACACACACACACACACACACACACACACACACACACACACACACAACACACATATAAAATCTCTGGTGGGATTTGCACTACCTGCGTAATCAGCCACACAGTACTACACCGCAAGGAACGAAATAACTATAAATATTGTGTTAAAGGTTTCTCATGTTTTAATGTTTCCTGAATAAAACATACATGTTCTTCTTTTTGCAGCACCTCAACAGAGAAAAATGTTTATTTGTCTTTGTTAGTGTTCAAATGTTCTTCAATCAATACAACAGATGTGATACAAACCATCGTAAAGAAATGTAACATGTATTTAAATACCCGCATTTGACCGACAGACTGAAAAGCAAAACTGTTTTCTATTCCGAATTGGTGCAGCAGGATACGCTTACCATTTCCAAAAAAAACGTATCGTAAGCACGTTCTCAGGATAAGTCGCAACTGCACAACAAACGTATTCGGGATTTTCTTTTGGATTATTTGATAGGGGATTTTATTGACGTTTTTAATTATATCTATCACATGATGGACCTCTTTGGACACAGAATTATCATTTCATTCAAACTCCTTTTCATCTCTACGAAGGCCGGGTTGGAGTACCAAATCTAGATGGGCACAATGTGTGTTCGAAGCTCATGTCTGTTATTCCCCTTTTTATGTTGCTGGCATATTGCTAAAAACTGTCGACACAATTATCAAGGATTTCAATGATTCGGTTCGAAATATCCATTGCTTAAATGTATGAAACCTACCCTGGTTGATTCGGGAATATATTATTAACTTAAGCTGAAAGTCTTATTTTAATATAAGCCTTAATAACAACATTATCGGAAATAAAGGCGCTGAATTACTTTGTACCTTGCCGGTCAGACATCAAGGCAGATTACCTTTTCTTTTAGGTATTTTTCGTATGGCGTTGTACGGAAGGATACACGACTTGTAAACTCCCCTTGACACTAAGTAGAATTGATTTCCCTTCTCTTTCACAGTCTGACACCAAAACCCATGTGAAACTCTACGAACAGATGCATGTGATGTTTTATAAGTTAATTATTTTTGAAAATCAATACAACAGCTGTGACGAAACAGAAATAAACAAGCTTTGAAACTCATACAGAACCAAGAACATGTTTTTTAAAACACCAGCAAAATAATTGCACAAAAACTTCAAATATGCTCGAGAATAATTTACAACAGGAATTTATATTATTGCGCAATATGACATGCGGGTGTTTAATCAATTAGATTATTTCAAAAACAACGGAAAACCGTTCACAAACACATGCTACCTACACCTGTCACGGCTCTTTCTTTTAATCGAGTTTTAAAAGACTTTAGAAACGAACATTGTAGTATTTGCATAGCATGGATACATGAAGATATAGATATGTTAGGTCTGTTATGGAGTGAGTGAGTTTGGTTTTACGACGCTATGAACAATATTCTAGCAATATCACGTCGGGGGACTGTTATGGGGAAATGACTGCGTTAACACCCAACTGTTTATTTCGATTGTCCGGCGCGTATAATACTCACATACCTGATGCATACGTTGCCCTACCGAAGGGCAAGGGATGCCGACTGAAACGTATATGCACAGTTGCGTCCCTTTGGCGTGTCAGAATCCTACAGAACCGGGTTCGAATCCCTAACCCGATTATGATACTTCGTTTGGAGGCAATATTAACCACTTGCTTTTGGGTTTCATCAAAGAGATGAAGATGTAAGATCTGCATAAGCTTGAAGCTTCAACCAAAATCCTAAACTACATTAAAATAAACGTTTTACTTACTCACTCATAGATAGACTTTCCCAGATGAATTTAAGAAGTTAGTTCCCTTTAGGTGTAGTTCAGAGTGCCATGATGGTTAGAGAAAAATGAAGCCGTTGTCATCTGAAATATAGTGACCATACGTGCAAGAACCTCTTAAGAATTTAGACTAGAAGTCAGTATCTTCATGGGCCCCTCCGTCCAATTTCCCTTGCTGATCTGATTCTTATTGAAAGTAAAGCAAGGAAGGTGACAAGAAGAGTATCATAAGCTGAATGACAGTCACCCGTGAAGCTCCGGGTTAGACGTAATCTTCAGTAACCCATACTTGTCGTAAGAGGCGACTAACGGGATCGGGTAGTCAGGCTCGCTGACTTGGTTGACACATGTCATCGTATCCCAATAAGTAGAACGATGCTCATGCTGTTGGTCACTGGTTTGTCTGGTCCAGACTCGATTATTTACAGACCGCCGCCATATAGCTGGAATATTGCTGAGTGCGGCGTAAAACTAAACTCACTCACGCACCCAATGAGTCAAATCGGCAGTTCCCTTGGATTCATTCAGAAATTTGAACCAAGCTCATAAGAGACCGAAATTGCGTCATCTGTTTCATATTTTGGATGGGCTTCAGGGAGGTTTCAAAGTGACAATAAACCTTCCACAAGGCTGTGTCTACTTAGCTTTTCCAGTCGTCAGCTTTCCAATTATGTCGAGCAATATTCAAGCACCCCCATCTTTTTGTTCCACACCTTTGGCGGTATATACGAGCATGCTCCAATGGCCCTTACAGCACTCTTGCACAAAAGTTGATTGATCAAGGTTACAACAACCGAGGCTTTAGTAAACATGAGAACAGATTTCTAAACATTTTATGACAGGCACGCGGAAGTCATACCAAGTATAACAGGCTCCAATTTTGACGCATTAGCGACCAAAATATTGTCCGATGGTTTTTCTAATTTGAACACAAACGTATGTTCCTGTATTTGTTCAGGTGAACACTGTTCCTGTATTTGTTCAGGTGAACACTTGCCTTGTTCTTGTATGCGTTTGTGTGCGCGCACCTGTTGGTGTGTGCGCACCAATTGGTTGGTTGGTTGTTTAACGCCGCACTCAGCAATAGTCCAGCTGAAGGAAAACCAAGTTCTATGGATAGTCAACTTCTTTATTGCAATGAGTGCGACGTTTCGGTGTAGGTTCTAACAGCGTTGTCAGGCAATAAAGACGTTGACTATCCATAGAACTTAGTTTTCCTTCATCTTTACAACTTCTAAATTGCCTCTCAAAGAAATATTCCAGCTATACGATGGCGGTCTGTAAATAGTTGAGTCTGGACCAGACAGTCCAGTGATCAATCTACGTAATTGGGATACGATGACGTGTCAACCAAGGCAGCGAGCCTGACTACCCGATCTCGTTAGTCACCTTTTACCACAAGCATAAGTTACTGAAGATCAGTTCTAACCCGGATCTTCACGAGTATCCGAACCATTGATATTATTGGTATTTGCCAATGATTCACAAAGATGTGCAAATTTTTTTGTCGGTCATTGGACTGAGCTTTGGCACTGATTATAATCAATGTGAACTTTGGCACTTCATTTTCACCAGAGTTTCAATGGTCATTGAACAAACTTTCAGGACAAAAGTGGGGGTGCCACCCCTGCACTCACACCCCTGGATCCGCCTATGCTGACTGTGAATTAATCCTGTCTGCAGCTGACAAACCAGCGATCTATATTAGCAGGCGGGTGCAGGTGCTCCAAGCCGGATCACGGGATCCGTTAAGTCGCCCATTAAAGCATATGTTTCCGAAATCACCGAAATCACCCGTTTCCATACGATCTCTCACTCACTATTTTCCATAAAGTTCCATAAACTACTTTTAAATAATTTTAAATTTTAAGATAACGCCATAATGACGGATGTACATGTAAAGGGAGATAATACTGACCAAGTGTTGCGTCGTGTACCGCGATTAGTTTCGCGGTGCTGGAATTCCATATTCGATGCGATTATAAACTTTCCTTTATACCATATCCGTTTTCTTGGGCTTTACGAAAAGCCAAACTCCTGAATTGAGTCACTCTGGGCTTTCCTTTCGCCTCAAACTGACAAACCATAACGAATATTCGCAGTGCACACCCAACTCAGACACATTAAAGCACAGTCGAAAGGGGTATAATAATGACATTTTTGTTTGCCAAATTCACAAATAGTCCACTGAGTGATTAAACAACATTGCCAACCCAGTATTCAACGAACGACTTCAAAGGGTTACCATTGTTGTCATGGTATAATTAAAACTGCTTCAACGTCATAACTAGACTCTAAGGTAAAAGTTTAAATGATAATTTCTAAAAAATAATGAATAACTGACTGGAGTCCTTAGATACGGATCGCTTATCTTGACTTGACTCTTCGAAGGATACAGTTACTATACATTCATGGGATCAGCATTCAGTACAGCCTTGGAATAAGCCTACGTCACAACTGCCATGAATATTCATTGGCTCAAATTGTAAAACATCAACACCCTTTATCATGTGTTGTCGTAAGCGTCAACAAACATTCTTAACACTGTTTCTTAAATCCACACATTTTTACTTATATTTGTAATGGGGCTGCGTACACATTTTCGGGAACACCTGGTGTCAAGGATGATTTTCGTTGATTGATCGATATGATTTTCGCCACCTAAGTTTTGCCTGGGTACCGCATACAGTCCCTCGATAATCTGCCCTTAATGGTTTGTTGCTTGACGTTTTAGATTAAAACGGCGATTTCAATCGTAGCATTAACTTTGGTCTTGTTTAACTAATAAATGAATCTATTCTATGAGAAATATATCAACGTTGCTTCATTCGGCTCATCAATCTGCATATTTATTGTTTTGTAAAGTCTCAGCAAATAGCCATATGCTATCAGCGCCATATGTCGTGGAATTTGATGGCATGTTTTATGCTTGATCCGTCATCGTTGACAGTTTATCGTTTGTCATTTTGATTGTTTCTCATGTTTATGTGTAACTAATGAATGATATGATAACGAAATAATCACATGGTCAAAGTGTGCATTGGTAAATCTAAAACTAATTCGTCAGTTCGACGAATGTATTTAGCCATTTCGTCCGGATCACCAAACACCCGTAAACACCGACACTTCGTCCCCATGAACGAGAGGTGAACGTGATTTGGCATGTGGGTCATTGTCCATCGCTTGAACATGTTAGCCGTTGTCCGACTTGCTAATCGGTAAATCCATTCATTCGCAGAGGCCAACTGTGTACGACAGACTATGTGGCGGCTCTGATGGTTTGCCATGCATCCGCCCTATCCCTGTCTTCATTGTGACTTAAGGAGCGGCGACGTGGCCCAGTAGTTAAAACGTTGTCTTGTCTCGTCTGTGGCCCCTGTTCGATCTCCACATGGTGCAATTTTTTAAACAAATTCTTAGTTTCCCCCCGCGGTGATACGGTTAGTGTGATGCTAAATGCGTCGTAAAACCATACTCACGCACATTGTAATTTACTTACAGTGGGTAGGCCTACTCCTTATCTTGACACCCTAGCTTACAAAGGTGTTTGTGGCCATTTTTGTTACTGGCGTGCGTTGATATGTTTTCCATTACAAGGATGTTATTGTTTAATGATACCATGTGATAGACTCTATTCACGTATTTCAATTCTCACAATACTGATAGTCCAATATTTTGCACGCTCACTCACCCACTCACAAGGACAAACCGAGAGAGCACCGTGTTGGAGTCAGGTGACTGCTTTGAACATGGAATTGAACGGAGACCTCATGTACAAGGAACTGGCACGGGGTGTATGGTGAGTGAAACGTATTTCAGGTCCAGCATCCCATAAACGTCGATGACCTTAGGATGCAGAAACAAACATATTCATCCTCTCATTTACCCTGAAGATTTACTCTGAAGAATAGTTATCTAAAATAATGAAATTAAAAAGTCTAACTGTTCACAATTTTTCATCAAAGCTTTCAGAAATCTCACATGTGAACATATTACCGTTTGAAGTCAATCTTTATTCAACTGTTCTGTGAGATGTGGTGTCCTCATTCGTGGTGTCACTGGAATTAAAACTTGCTGCCTTAAACGGTATGTACATTTGTGTCCATATATCAACGACTCAAATTATTTCTGTCTTCGTTTTTCAAAAATATATCTTTTATATAAGGTATTAAGAATATTTTATTAGCGAAAATACGATTGAAATAGAACACAAATTAATGGACATGTGAATATTCTCAAGCATTACACTGATCTTTCCGTCTGGTAAACAATTACATGTAAATAATCCTTCAACATACAGGTTTGATTGTAACCACTTTAGTAGTCTCATTGATTTGTTTATACAGAAGGGGCGGTGGGGTAGCCTAGCCTAGTGGTTAAAGCCTTGGCTCGTCACGCCGAAGACCCGGGTTAGAATCGCCACATGGGTACAATGTGTGAAGCCCATTTCTGGTGTTCCCCGCCGTGATGTTGCTGGAATATTGCTAAAAGCGGCGTAAAACCAAACTCAGTCAGTCAGTTTATACAGAAGTGGCACTCTGATTTAGAAGTCATCTAAAGGCAGACTGTATAAATCTATTAAACGTAACACTGATATAAAATTCTACTTACAACATTTACCTGATAAACATAAAACTGCTTCAACATTGTTTAGATTATCATGTCATCGATGACCGATTAAGACCGGTAGATAGTACAAAATTGACATTGTTGATAGAAAATGCACCCTATGTGTTTCAAATGATATTGGAGATGAATGTCACTACATGTTTAACTGTAATTATTTCAACGACAAAGAAAGGAACTACTTCCAACACTATACATCAAGAGACCATCTGCAATTAAAATGAGTTTATTTCAAAGTAAAAATATCTCGGATTTAATTAAATTGTCAGCCCTTTGTCGCTATAAATTATACAATTTTAAATAGACTTTATGTCGCCATCTGTATTGACCCCCTGTAACCCGCATCATGCTATGTGTGTAGCCTTGAGAGAAATAAAGTTTAACTTAGTTCAGTAACAATGACTTACAACACACTTTCATTTTTCACCAGCTTTCTGTGATGTGTCATTTGAATTTTTACCGACTGGGTGTTCTGATCCAAAACAGTGAACGGTAATTATTAGGTAGTACCTGTGAACGGAACAGACAAGTCAACTTTAGACATGGATATTCTCACCATTCCTCTTAAGCCACGAAGGTGACTTATTTCGTGGTGTTGTGCAAGATTGGCAAGTGCTAAGGTTAGAAAAGGACCACTCTGTCTCACAGAGTTTTCCCTTTCCGTTTCTCCTAGCCCTTTCAGTCATGCAGCAACCCTTAATAAAGCAAGTCTAGATTTCCATCAGGCTTGGGTGCTTAGGGCTCCATTTCATGGTCTGTAGAGTTATTTAGAGACTCAGGTATAGTCAAGGACAGGACATGCTTCCCTTTTTTGAAAAATGTTCTGTCGTTGCCACTGAAGTTGTTTGATCAAGGTTAAACCTTTCACAGGCTCAGTAAAGCTTTCAAGACGTTTCATGGTAGACATTCGGAGGAAATTTCCAACTTTGATGCATCAGTGACAAAAATAATGTCCGATGCAATTCCCTATTTTGACTTATACCATACGCTCCCGAATTATTTCAGATGAACAAATGACTAGACTTAGCAAATGTTTATAACGGGTGCCACCGGTGTAGCAGGATACGTTCACCTTTTCGCGAACACCTGGTATCATCACTATTTCGTAGTGATTCATAAACACATGCTCTGTCATCGTATCACATGGTAACAATCACTGGATTGTCTGGTTCAGACCCGATTTGTTTACAAACAACATCATAGAGCTGCAATACTGCTGAAACAAATATATGCTCATGATATAGTCACAATTGTACAATCGACTCTGGTTTTGACAGAGATTTCTTATTAATGTGGAAAGGGTTTTGTCGCTTCTATTCAGTAACTCAGTCATATAAATCTCAGGAAATAATTTGCCACATCATATGAAATGTGCGAAATTTCACGAGCGTTTTCGTTTTTGATTTTCTCTGATATTGTCATGGAGGTGATGCCTTGGTGTTATTCCTTGTTTTGAAAGAGTTTTCATATTAATTGTGGTGAGATTTGCTCCAATATCTAACACACAAGAAGCGTGGGGCGTATTCTCTAGAGTAAAAGAAGAAAATGAAAATGCCTGCACACAGATCCGTTGACCTTCGTATTGATAATGTACCGCCGTGAGCATTTGGTCATTCCAAAACAATATTATCATCCCAACTTGTGAAAGAAATTCCAACGAAGAGGTAAGATTATTTAGTAGATTGACATATCGAAACACTTGTTTCATTGCCGCATCATCGTGCCATTGAATGATTGAATGAATGAATGAATGAGTGGATGGATGGATGAATGAATGAATGAATGAATGTTGCTTCACGCCGACACAGCAATGAATGAATGAATGAATGTTGCTTCACGCCGACACAGCAATGAATGAATGAATGAATGATGCTTCACGCCGACACAGCAATGAATGAATGAATGAATGTTGCTTCACGCCGACACAGCAATGAATGAATGAATGAATGAGTGTTGTTGCACGCCGAATCAGCAGTTTTACAGCTGAAAGTGTCGATAACCAGTTGATAAAACCTTCCTTCATGTGCATTTAATACGAACACTCATTAAGAGTGATGTCGAAGAACATATAAAATATCAGTCAATCTTCACACACTGAACTAAAATCATCGTGACATAAAGATTTTTTGTCTTTGGTCACAGATCAATAGTCTCATTCATTGCTTAATTGCACCGATAGGTTTTGTTTCCAAAATGACTTCGGGTTGGAAAGATTTGAAAAGAACTTCAACATCTTGCGTCTGAAGAGTCTGAAGCGCTTGTCCTTTTACCAGACACTGAGTAGTTTTTTAAGCTGTATTAAAATAACCCTGCACACAGCTCCTATTGAGCATCGTGTGCCACGCTCGCAACAGCTTGTAAAACAGATTTAACACAGTTCTTTTTCAAAAATGAAATATAGACTTCTTTTGTCCAGAAAAGTAAGTGCCCT